TCCGAATCACCACCAAAATTTAATGGAATCTAAGATAGACTAAGACACACAGCTGATAAACTTTTCATAAAAATCTGTTCATAACTTTTTGATTTATCTTGCTAACCAACGAAGATACGAACAGACAAACACACAAACAAACGCGACCTCAGTGGCGGGAATAAAAAGGATCTAGATATATGATTCAAGTATAAAAATAGTTGATTAAAAAAAAATTGAAAATTGATTTAAATCTTGAGAAATGCTAGTACTGCGAATGGTGATAAATAACAATCATGGTAATAAGAATGAAAATAATAGTAATATAAGAAGAAAAACAATAATGATGTTAATGATGTAACGATAATGATAAAAAGGATAATGGTAATAGACGTAATTATGATAACAATAATTACCCTTATTGTTATTATAATTTCCTCATTTTCATCATAACAGTAGAAGAAAGACGAATAAGGAGAGAAGTGATAAAAAAAATAATTATTAAAAAAAACTGTAATCGAATCGACGCTCTCCCGCCTCCCTCTTATACGAACGCGCTGCCCGGATTCGAGCTCCGTTCGCGGATTCTGGATAATGATAATCCATTCCCATCCCTGCGGAAACGAGAACCCAGCCTCGCTTTATTTATTCTTTTTTTATTTATTTATTTATTTTTTTTTTTTTTTTTTTTTTTTTTTGCACAGTTTCGCACAGTCTCGCCCCCAATTGTTCGAAATTTACCCATAATGCCCCGGACGGCGATGAGAGTGATATTGAGCCTCAATGCCTCGGGGGCTCGGGGAGGGGGGGGATGGGGAGGGACAGCCCGCGCCCTCAGTAAGTGCTTGTTCACGGGCGCCTGTGAATGCGTCTGTGTGCATTCAAAGAGCGCGCGCCCACGTGTGTGTGTGTGTGTGTGTGTGTGTGCGTACTTGCATGAATGCGGGCATGCTTACATACACACATACACATACATACATAGAAGAGAGAGAAAAAAAAATAACCCCATCCCTCCACGCACACAAACCTCACTCCTCACCCAACCACGCAGAAGCCAAGACGACCAAAAAGAAGACGAAAACAAAAGAAGCGAGCCTTGCGCACCACGTGAC